AAAGCACGAGGCGGGGCAGCAGCGTGGCAGGGCCGAGGGCAGGGGCTTGGCCCTGACGGGCTGGGGTCCCCCTGATATGATCATGTCCAATCACCCCACCTCCCTCCTGGCCCCACTCAGGGTCCCTGAACCACCACGAGCCCCCTATCTTCTACCCAAGCTTCCCCTAATCCCTGGCACAAGGGTACCCCATTCCAGCACCTGCCCCCATCTCCAGCCCCAGACCCTGCGGCCTCCGGGGCTTGCCCACAGGCCGGGCTAGGGAGGCCCAGCCCCCGTCTCTGGTCCACTTGCTGCTGTCTCTCTAGACCTGTTGGCACAAGGGCTGGGCAGTTGGATGTCCAGCGCTGCGTTTTTAGGGACCAGGGACCCGACAGCGAGGAGTGGCTGGAGGGGGCTGGCGAACAGGAAATCCACAGGCACCAGAGCATGGGCCTCAGCTCCCCCCACCTTCCTGGACCCTCCTGGCACCCGGGGCAGGGGGAAGAGTCCGGGGTGCTGGAGCCGCCAGCTGAGCCTGGGCCTCTGAGGAGACAGCCGGCAGCAGGGCCCAGCCTGCATCAAATCTTCCTCGTTCCATTTTCTCTCTGATTTAATTTTCCGGAGATCAGGGCCGTTCACCTTGGCTGCGGAGGGAGCCGCGCCTGCGTGCCTGTTTCGCTCACGGGGTTGGGCGGTTGGTTAGTTCTCAGGCTGGTTCTGCCAGGCCTCCCCTCGCCCCCTCCCAGTACGGCCGCCCACCGGCTACTGGCCACCGGCCACCAGCCCCCGGCCCTCAGCATCGCCCTAGCTCTGCCCCAGGCCCCGTTGGGCCCACCCAACCGCCAGCTTATCTAACGGCACGCCCGTTGCCAGCGGCCTCACCTCCAAGCCTGGGCTGAGTGCTAGGAGCGGAGCTGTGGGGTGTGGCCTGAAGCAGGGGCTGTGGGCGGCCGGCTCAGGCCTGAGCTCTGCTGTGGCCCTCAGTGTCCCGACCGCCGATGGGGCCGGATTGAAGGGTCCTCCTCAGGGGTCGTCGGATCCGTGACGTCCAGCATAGGAAGCACCTGCCCAGGGTGGCCAGAGCCTCCACTCGGGGAACAGGCAGTCCCATGGCCCCCGCGGTCCCTCCGCCCCTTTCCCCTCCTCGCCCTCCTTTCCTGTCCCCCCCGCCCCCGCTTCCTCTGCCTGCGCAGGTGGGTGCTGCTGGCTTTCGGGGCTTTGCCTCTCCGTGTGGTTGGGGCCCGTTCGGGTCGCTGGGATCTTGTTTTGGGGTGGCTGTCGTGTCCTGGGGACCGCGCTGGCTCCGTCCGCCCGTGAGCATCCAGGTTCCCATCCAAGGCCACCTGCCTCCAGGTGTCCTCCAGGCTCACCTCCCTTTATGCAAAGGCGCCCAGGAAGCAGGAGGCTGGGAGAGGGTCTGGTGCCCCTGAAGCCTGGGCCCCCTGACCCGACCACCCCTAGGCTGCCAGACAATTACTGGAGCTGAGAAGGGGGTCGGGGCTGGGCCAGCATGGGTCGGGTTAGGAGATGAGGGGAGAGACAGAGGGACAGGGCTCAATGGCTAATGCGGGGTGGTCTCAGCGGAGGAGGACGCCCAGGTGAGTGGTGGCCACAGACTCACGGTCTGGGATGGGGGAGCAGGGACTCCTGGGAGCGGGAAGGTCCCACTGCCTCCTGAATTCTCCCTCCGGGTCTCAGCCCCTATGCCACTGCCTCTGCCCACCTGGTTCCAGACAGCCTGTCCCCTGGTCTGCTGCCCTGTCCCCTGCCATTCGTCACCTCCTCGGTGGGATAACACCCTGTCCCTCCCTCCCCATCATGGCTGCGGAGCGACAGCCACCTGTCGGCCTGCACCGTCTCTCCGGGTCCAGCGGCCTGTGCAGGTGGGGGACATGCAGGCTGCGCTGCTGGGCCGTGGGGTTTTTCCAGCGAGCTCGCGGCCAAGGACACCCGCAGGCATGCGATCTCGCTGCAGCTGCTGAGCCCTGCACCCGGTGCGCCCCGGCCTGTCTGTTCTGAGCTGGCTCTGGGGCCAGGGCATGAGGCTGGGGCGCAAGGGAGTCTACGCTGAGCTCTCCCGGGCTTCCTGCTGGGCCTGCGGGCGGACAGCACCTCCCGGACTCACGAGGGCAGAGATGACCTCCCTCCCGGACTGTGTCTCCAGGGTCTTCCGAGACACAGGGCGCAGCTCAGGGCCCACCCAGGGGACAGGGCGACGGGGCGGGGCCAGGAGAGTGTTAGCGAGAGGTTTGAGGCACCGGGGGTAGAAGGAAAGGGGTCTGGTGCACCCCAGGGGCTCGTTTGGGATTGGGAGGCAGGCTTGGCTGGTGGCTGGACCAGGCCCTGCAGTACTAGGATTGTGCCCTCACCTCCCCAGCAATTCCCGGCTCCCGTCCCCACCCTTGCCCCTGGGAGGAGTTAGATGGGGGCGGGGGGTGAGGTGACAGGGAGCAGAGGCAGCATCAGCCGAGGGGCAGCAGGAGGAACCGCGGGGGCTGGGGACCCAGAGGCTGCAAGTGCACATAGGAGGCACCACGGGGAGGCGGGAGGGCCTTGGGTAGAGTGGACAGGAAGAAAGCCTGGCAGATGCAGCCCAGCCTTCCAGGGGTAACTGAGCTGCAGGCCAGGGTAGAGGCGTCAGGCCCGGGCCTGGCGGGCCCCAGAGCTCTGCTCTGGAACCTGGAACTGGGCATAGGCCTTGGCCAAGGGGCCACGCACACAGGCCCGGTGCTGGGGAGAGAAGAGGAGGGGGCTGTGGCGCCCCTGTGTCTGGGCTCCCCTGTTGTCACCTCCAGGACTCAGGCTGAGGTGTCGGAGACAAGGACAAGATGGCTGGGGAGGGACTGCCCGGCAAGGACAGGGAGAAGGGGGGCCAGGGGGGGCAGACCCCAGGAGACCGAGGCTATCAGCCCAGGAGTGGAGCCGATGGCTTCAGATCCTCCGAGTGCAGATCGAGCAGGAGAGGGTGGAGCGGGAAGGGGCTGGTTCCTCCTGCGGAATCCTGGTGCCGTTGACAGTAGCAGCGGCGACCACGGTGCGGGCTCCTGCATCTGGCTGCCTGTGGAGCGGGCTGCTGTCCTCGCGCTCAGCAGATCGGACAGAGGCCCAGAGAGGGGGCGCCTCTCCGCAGGCCCCGGCTTTCCAGCCCGCGTGCCATCTGCTGGGCGGTGGGGTGTGACCCTGGCACCTGGAGACCCGGTCTCATGGCGATTCCCTAGCCCTGCCCAGCCGCCGTGCAGGCTGCGTGGGACACCAGGGCCCGCGGGGAGGACCCTGCGCTCCCCCCATGGGCTGCCAGCAGGTCACGAGGCCCAGCCTCAGGTCTGGGCTGCGGGGCTCTGGGCGCCCCGATAGAGGCGCCTGGGAATGACCTTGACAGGGGCATCAGGTAGGAGAGCGGCATCCCATGCCCTGAGCAGCCAGGCGGCTGCGCCCCCTGCTGGCTGTGTGGCTGAGACGGGGTCCAGCCCAGCCAGGCGCAGTGTCGGGAAAGGTGTGTGTTTGGTTCCTGAGACCTGGGTGCGGGAGGGCGGTGGGAGCGGGGGGACCTGGCCCACCACTCACAGGCGTGTGTCCTTGGTCCGCCCTTGCCTGTTTCTGAGCCTGTTCCCCCAGCCGTGGGCTCTGGGCCCCGGGCTCCCTGCATTTCCCAGGGGCTCCCAGGCCCTGACCCCTCCTTGACCTCTGTCTCCACGGGGGACCTGGGTCGCGGGGCAGCCGGGCCTGGTGTCCCCTGGAACTCCGCAGCTCCTGGCTTTATCCCACCCCGCACTCAAAAGTCCCCACTGCTCTGTGGGAAGGAGCAACTTCACCACAAATTATTTTGTTCTAAGAGAAGGACAAAGAGAAAAGAGCAGCCGGGAGGGACAGGGCGGGGGAGGGGAGTGCGAGCCGCTTTGTGCGAGCGTTAACCCTTGGGCTGCCGGGCGCTGGGCGGGCAGGGGCTCAGGAGGCGACCAGTCCCCCCTCCGCCCCGTCAGATGCCTGGAGCCTTATCTCCCCTCCCCTCTCTCACTCCACCGACCTTATCTCTCCTGCCTGCCTGTCTCTCATCGCTGCCTCTCCCGCCTCCTGCCTCCTCCTCCTCACCCCTGGGTCTCTCGCCCCCTCCTCTGCACAGCCTGTTGGGGGAGCTCAGCTCGGTCACGGTGACTCGGACCTGCCGGGGCCACCTGGATGGACACCTGCACCCAGTCAGGCCCCGGCGTTTGCAGGGGTGTCCAGTGCACACACATGTGCACACACACACACACACACACACACCCCGCAAGCCTCCAGCCATGAACAGAAATGCCCGCAGATCTGCTTCTCCGACTCTGTGCGAGCCCCCAGGCTCTGTTCCGCCCCCTGACGCCCCGCACCCCAGCACCCAGCACCCAGCACGGCACAGGCGGGTGTGTGCGGAGCCATAACACGCTCACTCACGCAGATACGGACTGTGAGAGTTACACACCCATGTGCACACACCACCCCCCCCCCCCGTGCCTCTTCTTCTCTGGTCCCTGCCCCCGCTCTCTGTGCCCTGAATGACAGAGGACCCCCTGGGGGCACCCAGAGCTCCCGCTACAATTTCTGCAAATGCCCTGGGGCAGCGCCAGCAAAAAGGGGTACAGCTGTCTGAGGCCGTGCGGAGGGGTGGCTGTGTGCAATGCCTGTGGGGTGTGCAGGTGCGTGTACACGCGTGAGCATGTGGGCATCTTGTGTTGGTGTGTGGTGTGCTATGTGTGCTTATGGGCTCCTCCCCCCCACCCTTCCCCCTCACAGCTCTCAGCCAGGCGGGGTGGGGGGGGTGCTGCTCATGGCCCCTGGGGAGGAACCCTGAGTTCCAGAGGGGGCGGCGACAGCCACAACCAGTGCCAGCTGTGGAGCCGGTGACTGTGTCCTCCAAGTCCAAGAGCGCCCTGGGCCCCCCTCCCAGACCCCTGCGCTCTGTCTCCGTGACCAGAGCCGGGGGCGGGGGCGGGGCGGGCATGGGACACTGGGACCACCTGGCCTCACCCGGCTCTGCTTCCTTCCAGATCTACAGGGACAACCGGAATCTGTTCGCGGTGCAGGAGAACGAGCCTCAGAAGCTGGTGGAGAAGGTGGCCGGCGACATCGAGGGGCTGCTGGCCAGGAAGGTGCAGGCCCTGAAGGTAGGTGTGAGCATCGGGAGGGCGGGCAGACCTGTCCTCGCCTCCCGAGAACCTGCGGCCCTCCTGGCGCCCTGAATGCAGGCCGGCGCCACGGGCAGGGCTGTGGCCGCGGGGCCGTGGCAGCTGCGGCGGGCGCGAGCGGTGTGATCTGGGGAAGGCTGCACGCGGGGTGACGGGGGCCTGGGCGACCCCGTGTGGGTGTGGTGGTGGGGCCCAGGCCGAGTCCGCCTCTCCCTCCATCTGCTTCTCCCTCCCTCTGCTGTTTCGTAAGTGTCCCTGGCGCGCACCTGCCAGGATTGTGGCCTGCCTGTGCCTGGGGCTGGGCTGCTGGCTCTGATGGGGAGGGAGCCTGAAAGCCCCAGGAGAAAGCTGTGGCCACGTGACGCCAGGCGTCAGGGCCTCCGCTTGCCCACGGCTTTGACGGGGCCTCGGTCTCCCCTCTAGACTCAGAGCGGTCGGCTCGGGCCTCTCGGCTCCGAGCACAGCGGTTCTGTGAGGTGAGAGCCGGCTGGGCCCCCCCGACCCGCTGTCCAGAGCTGGCCGAGCCCAGGGCAGCAGCTGGGAGGGGCTTCTGGAGCTGCAGGTCACACAGTAAATGAGGGAGGGGTCCAAGCGGCCCCCAGATCAGAGGCACAACTGCAGCCGCCCCGGCCTGTGTCAGAGACCCGTCCAATGAGGAGGAGAGAAGTACAGCCCTGGCTGGTGGGCTCAGTGGTTAGAGTGTTTGGCCTGAGCACTGAAGGGTCATGGGTTCAATTCCTGGTCAAGGGCACCCACATACCTGGTCTGAGCCACATGTGGGAAGCAGCCAATCTATGTGTCTCTCTCACATCGATGTTTCTCTCACTCTCCCTCCCTTCCACTCTCTCTAAAAAGTCAATGGGAAAAATATCCTCGGGTGAGGAGTAACAACAAAAAAGGGGAGGGGAGCAGTACTGACACACGAGACAGTGGGCACGAAGTTGGAAGCATTAACCCAGCGGTTCTCAACCTGTGGGTCGCAACCCCTTTGGGGGTCGAACGACCCTTTCACGGGGGTCGCCTAAGACCATCCTGCATATCAGATATTTACATGACGATTCATAACAGCCGCAACATCACAGTGATGAAGTAGCAACGAAAATAATGTAATGGTTGGCCCACACCATGAGGAACTGTATTTAAAGGGCCAGAAGGTTGAGAACCGCTGCATGATTAAACTTAGTGAGAGAAGCCAGTCTCGAAAGACCACCTGGCGTGCGATCCCCTTTCTGTGAAACGTCTGGAACAGGGAATCCGTGGACTCAGAGAGCTCATCAGTGGCTGCCTGGGGCTGGAAGGGCGGGGACGGGGGTGTCTGCTAATGGGCCGAGGGTTTCTTGTTGGGGTGATGGAAATGTTCTAACCTCAGTGTGGTCAAGGTCGCAGCTCTCTGAATATGCTAGAAAACCCCTTGTGTTGTTTGTGGGTGAATTGTACGGTCTGTGAATTACATATCAATAAAGCTCTTTAAACAAACACACACGGTGAGCCAGCCCACGCGAGACGTGCCCAGCTCGGGCCAGGTCCTGGCGGGGCCAAGTTAGGGGCAGCCACCCAGCCTGAACCCCACCACATCCCGCCCCAGGCGAGAGCCAGGACCCCTTCCTCCCCCAGGAGCTGGGTCCCCTGCCTGCCCCTGTGTGACCTGGATCATGGACTAGGGGGAGCCCCCCACCCACTGCGGACCCACAGGCCCGGCCCCGAGCGGCAGGCCAGGGCTCAGTACCCTTTCCTCTCCCTCCGCAGCCCAGGCCGCGGCCTGTGCAAGTGGCACTAAATGCAGGTGATTCTCAGTGGGGCAACGATAGGAAAAGACACTCACTGGTGGGCTGAGTGTCACCGGTCCTTCTCACAGCAGCCCCGTGAGGGACGCCCACTTCCCGGAGCGGACCCTGAAACGCGGAGGTGCCGTGCACCGGGTCAGGGTGTGGCGGAGCCAGGACTTGAACCCAGGTCACTAGGACCCTGAGGCAGGCCCCCCCACTGCCCACATTCTCCCCGAGATGAGCAGGGAGCCCCCAGCCCTCCCTTCCCAGCCCTCTCCCGGCAGGTGACGTCCCCCGCAGCGCCCCCTGGCGGCTGCCCGTGTCCCAGAGGAAGGGGAGGGCCGCCCTCCTCCCACCTGGGTCTTCCTTGTTCAAAATGCGCTTCGGCCTTAATGATGTTTAAATTTGCTTTTCACCAAGGCCTGGCCCTTTCGCCTTTCCCCCGTTTGTTTGCGGCCCGCGTGCACACGGAGGGAGGGGTGTTGGGGGTCTGGGCCCCCGCAGTCCCACCTCATTGTTCCCCTCTCCCTGGGCCCCATCCAGTCGTCCGTTGTCAATCCTCTTGCCCTGGTCTGGAATGTTAATGTGGGTCCTGCGAAGAGGGAGGTCGTTGTCTCATCTAATCAGGGACAATCAGTGTTGGTAACGAGCGTCTCCAAGCTGCACAGGTGGTTTATGGGCCACGAGTCAGGCGGGAGGTGGCGGTCAGGGCTTTGCCGCACAGGCAGCTGGCAGCCCCGGGTCTGGGAGACCTGCTGGGGCCTAGGCTTCGGAGACACGAGGGGTCCTCTCTAGGAACCCCTGCCTCCGGGAGATGGGTCCTTTGAGCCTGGGCCCGACTGTTGAGTCCCAGGAGGGGAGAGAGACGCCCACCTCTTATAGCAGATTGGGACAGAGTTGGACCCCGCTAGGACTCCCCTCTCCTCCCAGCTGGGGCCTTGGCACCCAGCCCCTCTTTCAGGAAGGTCATCGCTTCATTGTTGTAGCCCTCCCTCCATTCACTGATGGCCTACTGTGTGCAGGCCGGCACAGGCAGCCCTGGTGGAGCTCATTCCAGGCCCAGCCCTGGCCTTAGTTTTCCCCTCTGTAAAATGGGGACAGGAGACCATCCCTGCCCGGTGCTTCTGGTCCCACAGCTCCAGGAGCCATCATTTCTAAAGGCCACGGTGAGAAAGTGTCCTGAAGATTGTGCCGCCTTTGGCACCATCCCTGGCACCATCCTTGGCACCTCTGCTGCGTGGATGGGATCAGAGGAGAGGCTGGGGAGGGGCACTGACTTGGATAAGGTGAGGAGTGACCCCAGTGCGGGGCATTCCAGCCTCCTGTGGAGGCCGAGGCCAAGGTCGTGTGGTCCAGTGGGCTTGGTTCGTGGAGAATGGGACACCAGGGCCAGAGCGGGTCTGGGGGACATCGGTGGCGGTGAGAAGTCTGCTCCCGAGGTGGGGCTTTCACCTCCAGCCTCAGACAAGCCAGGGGCGGTGGAGAGGCCTGGCTGGGCACCCAGGACTGGAGACCTCGGCCTTAAGCTCTGCCCTTCCTACCACGCCCACGGTTCACCTCAGCTCTGCCCGTTGCCCTGGGCCAGGACCTCCCCGAGGCTGTGCCTTTGTACCTTGGCGTCCACGCAGCGTGTGGGACCCGGCTGGCACGCTGGAGCCTCTGAGGAGCTTTTAAACCCAGATGCCCAGGCCCCAGCCCAACCCGCCACATCAGACTCTGGGGTGGGGCTGGGCCTCAGTATGTTTCACGCTCCGCAGATGGCTCTGTGTAGATTCAGAGCCTGGGACGTTCCCCCGAAATGGCAGCATTAATTCCTCCCCACGATTGCCGGCCTCCGTCTGCGTGCCTGCCACGTGCCCGGCCTGAGCTGAGCTGGAACATGCCAGATCGCCCCTCACCCTCCCTACCAGCCAAGAGCTACTCCTCTTATTCCCATTTTACATCTGAGGAAACTGGGCCCCAGACTGTTAAGCCATTGGCCCAGGTCTCCCAGCACAGCAGGCGTTAGATCCAGGCAGCTGGGCTCCAGCCCCCGCCCACTCCCCTCCCCCCTTCTCTGCCCTCCTCCATGCTGCCACCAGTGGCCACATGGCATTTGCTGTCCACAGGGAGGTGGGGTTCTGGTCTCTCCTGTGATGACCCAGTGACCTTGGGCCCATCCCTGCCCCCGCAGTTCCTTCCTTGGTCTCACAGCTCCAGGAACCATCAATGGAGACAAGACACTGAGCTCCCCCTCCCTGCGCACCCCCACAAGGCCCCGGTGGACGGGACACGGGGTGCTGCTGCGGCCCTGGTACCGGGGGCGCCAGTGGGCAGTGTTCCCACCGTCAGCGGCCTCTCTGGGGAGCGAGCATCATTTAAAGAGTAAAATTAAAAACCCTTCCTCACGCAGCCGCCCTGCTTTTGCTGCTAATGGCCACTTAACCCAATTAAACGGATGCTCTGTTGGCAGCGTGACCGGGTCTGTTCAGGAACTGGCTCTGGGCTGGGTGCTCAGAGGAGCCGGAGTGAGCCAGGGGCCAGGGCTCGGGGGCAGATGGTGCCCGTCAGGAAGGAGAAGTCTGCCCGCCCCCCACCCCCTCGCTGCTCTCTCAGGCTTCGCCTCGCCGGTGTCTCAGTGTGGGTATCGCTGGCATTGGAGCAGGTACGTCCGTGTGCGGCTGCTCGGTGCCGTGTGGGATGTAGGCAGCACCCCACTGGGTGCCAGCAGTGTACCACGCCCCCGGGTGTAACAGCCAAAAATGTCTCCAGATATGGCCAGATGTCCCTGCGGGCGACGGCCCCCCTGAGTGAGAGCCACTGGTCTAATGGACGGAGAAGGGCTGACAGGCTGGGGCGACCCCAGCAGGAGGACGGTCCCTTCAGTCCCAGGGGCAATGGTGAGCTCAGGGCTGCCTGGAGGCGGCGGCAAGGATTTGGGGGGAAAGCTGGGCATTGAGGCAGCTGGCGGCCACCGATGCCTTCGTGATGGGGGTTGGACAAGCAGATCATGAGGACAAGAGCCATGGTGTCACCCAGCAGGAGCCTCTTAAACGTTACAGTTACACGGTTACACCGAGGCTGCGGCCCTGCGTTCTCGCTCTGAGAGGCACAGCGACAGTGGACGGAGGGGCCCCAGCTGCCTCCGCCCACCCGCCTCCGGGCAATTAAAAGGTGTGTCGGTGGGGCCGGCAGTGGCTGCTGCCGCCCTCCATTCTGAACATTAAGAGATCT